TTCAAATGTAATGAATGTCCAATAGCAAACTTTACATTATTCAGCCATAAAAAAGAAGGAAAGCTTGCCATTTGTAAAACATGGATAGACCTAGAGGGTATTATGCAACATGAAATGGGTCGGACAGAGAAAGACAAATACCACATGATTTCACGTACGTGTGGAATCTAAAGAACAAAACAAACAATAACAACAAAAGCAAAAATAAACTCATAGATACAGAGAATATTGTGAGGGCTACCAGATGGGAGGGGAGTTTGCGGGGGATGGCGAAAAATGGGATTAAGAGGTACAAATGGATAGTTATAGAACAGACATGGAGATGTAGAGTGTAGCATGGGGAAGATAGTTAATAATGTTGTAATAAATATGTAAGGGGAAAGAGGGGTACTAGATTTAGTGGGGTGATTGCTTTGTGAATTATGTGGATCTCTGATCACTATGCTGTACAACTGAAACTGGTATATTACTGTATGCCAACTATAATTGAAAAAAAACTTCATTGAATTGTACAATGTAAATGAGCAACTAATTGTCTATTATATTTCAATAAAGCTGGGAAAAATATCATAAATGAAAGAGAGGACATTACTACAGACCTTATGGAAATTTAAAAGATAAAATATGAGAATACTATGAACAACTCCAGGCCAACAAATGAAATGAACCAATTCCTTGAAAGACACAATCTGCCAAAAGTCACACAAGAATAAATGATTTGAATAGGCCTATATCTATTAAAGAAATTGAATCAATAATTAATAATCTTTCAAAACTAAGTATTAGGTTCATTGGTGAATTCCACCAAAACTTTAAGGAAAAAATTATACTAACTTTCTACAATCTCCTTCAGAGGATAAAAGCAAAGGGAATACTTTCCAACTCACTATATGAGATCAGCATTACTCTAACACCAAAACCAGACAAACACATTACAAAGAAAGCAACTACAGACCAATATCTCTCATAAACATAGATTCAAAAATCCTCGAGAACCTACCTCAAAGGGTTGTTATGAGTATTAAATTAGTTAATTTTCATAAAGCAAAAAAAAAAAAAATCCTCAAGAAAATATTAGCAAATTGAATTCAACAACATACAAAAAAAATTACACACTAGGACCAAGTAGGATTTATCTAAAGTATGCAAGGCTGGTTCAACACTTGAAAATCAATTAATATAATCCATCACATCATAAGGCTAAAAAAGAAAAAATATCACATGTTCATATTGATATAAACAGGAAAAGCATTTGACAAAATGCAACAGCTGTTCATAATAAAAACTGAGTAAATTAGGACTAAAGGGGAACTTTCTCAACTTGGTAAAAATGATCTACAAAACTCTACAGGTAATATACTTAACAGTAAGAAATTTGAAGCTTTTTCACTAAGATCTGGTACAAGGCAAAGATGTCCCCATAAACATACTCAATTAATTTTTAGCAAAAGACCAAAGGCAATAAAATGGAGAGAAGATAGTCTTGGCACTGGAACCACTGGACATCCGTGCAAAAAAAAAAAAAAAAATGAATCTAGATATAGATACTACGCCCTTCATAAAAATTAACTCAAAACAGATCATAGACACGACTGTAAAATGCAAAACTATAAAACTCCTAGAAAATAACATAGGAGAAAACCTAGATGACCTTAGGTATCGTGGTCTTTTTTAGGTACAACACCAAAGACACAATCCATGAAAGAAATAATTGATAAGATGGATGTTATTAAAATTAAAACTTCTGCTCTGTATAAGACAATGTCAAAGAAATGAGAAAACAAGCAAAAGACACATCTGATAAAGAATTGTTATCCAAAATATACAAAGAACTCTTAAATCTCAACAATAAGAAAACAAACAACCCAACTAAAAAACGGGCCAAAGATCTTAACCGATAACTCACCAAAGAAGATATATAAATGGCAAATACACCTATGAAAAGATGCTCTACATTATATGTCATCAAAGAGATGTAAGGTAAAATGAGATATCACTGTATAGCTAGCTATCTCAATGGTTAAAATCCAGATCATTCACAATACCAAACGTCAGTGAGGATGTGGAGCAACAGGAACTCTTATACACTGCTGGTGGGAATGAAAAATGGTACAGCCACTTTAGAAGACAGTTCGGCAGTTTCTTGCACAACCGAACATATTCTTACCATAAGATCCAACAGTCACACTCTCTGATATTTATCCAAAGGAGCTGAAAACACATTCATGTAAAAACCTGCACATAAATGTTTATAACAGTTTTATTCATAATTGCCCAAACTTGGAAGCAACCAAGATTCCTTCAGTGGGTAAGTGGATAAATAAACTGTGATACAGTTTGTGCTATAGATGCAGACAATGTAAAATTCAGTGCTAAAAAGAAATTAACTGTCAAGCCATGAAAAAGACATGAAGGAAACTTAAATGTATATTACTAAGTGAAAGAAGCCAATCTGAAAAGGCTACATACTGTATGATTCCAACTATATGACATTCCGGAAAAGGCAAAACTATGGAGACAGTTAAAAGGTCAGTGGCTTCCAGAGGTTGTCACTTTCTGAGATATGTGTTTCTCTACTTCTCCTTTGTAATCAAAACCAACTGCTAACTACAAAGAAAAGGGGTTGGAGGTGAAGGATGGATGAATAAGCAGAGCAGAGGATTTTCAGGACAGTGAAAACATTTCGTATGATATCATAATGTTGGATGTATGTCACTATACATTAGTCCAAATCCACAAACTGTACAATACCAAGAGTGAACCCTAAGATAAACTATGGACTTTGGGTGCTTATGATGTGTCCATGTAGATTCATTCTTGGTAAAAAAAAAAAAAAGTACCATTCTGGTCAGTGATATTATTAACAGGGAAGGCTGTGCATGTATGGGGTGGGAGTGTATGTTAAATCTCTACCTTCCTCTCAATTTTGTTGTAAACCTAAAACTACTCTAAAAAAACTATCTTAAAAGAGAAAGATATCAAGAAAAGAGTGAAAAGTTCGAATCCACATCTAATATGAGTTCCAGAAGAAAGAATAAAAGGGGAGAGGAAATTCACTGTCCAAAGGGAAAATGCCTGAGAACTTTCCGTAATAAAAGTCACTTCTGAGGTTGAAGAGGACTGACAAGTCTCATGTAGAATAATAAAAATAGATCTAACACTTAGACACATTCTGATGATATTTCAGACTCTCAGAGACAAGAAGAAAACATTTCATGAAAAAACAAGACAGAGAGATTAGACATATTACCTACAAAGGAATGATGATGAAACAAGAGAGATACCAGAGACAATGAAATAATATCTTCAAAGTGATAAATGAAAAATAACAATGAAAAGTGGAAGAACATATAGATGCTTTTTAGACAAAGCGTGGGAGTTCTTTCATAGATTCTCACTGAAAGAATTATCAAAGAATATACTTTAGCAAGAAGAAAATAGAAGAAGCAAGGAGGAAACAGAAGAAAGGAGAAAACAATGAAATACAATGATGACCTAGAAAGTTAGCAAATATGTTGGTCAATTTACTATGTAATAATAATGATTAAATTTTGTGGGGTTTATAAACACATAGAGCCAATACAAAGAATATAGAATATAGAATGTTGAAGGAATGTAATTAAATTATTCTATATTTCCTATATTACTCATGAAGAAATAATGATTAATTTTGAATTTAAGTAAAAGAGGCATGTTAAAATTTAAAGATAACTTCCTAAAAATAAAGGAGTAGACTACCTTATTTTTAATTCATTAGAGGTAAAGGGGGACTACAGAAAACTTGATCAATCTTACAGAAAGCGATAAAGGAGAAAGGAAGAAGCAAGTACATGTTTGGATTTAAAAATAAGTAAAATAGTGGAGAATTGGATCATGGAACTACAGGGAACTAATAACAGCTTTTGGGAGGTGAAGTCTGAGCAGAATAGCAAGGCAGTCAGGTTGCTAAGGATGAATGAAGTGCAGGGTACTCGCCTTTCTGAGATGTGTGTTTCTCCACTTCTCCTTTGTAATCAAAGCCAACTGCTGACTACAAAAAAAAAAAAAGGAGAGAGAATTGGTTAGAGTAGAGCTGACAGGTTTTCCTCTCTCTCAGTTACTGTTACTCCCAGCTCAGCCCAGAGGTTTGTTTATAGGGGCTCAGGACTGAGTATAGGGGTCTAATGTAGAAACAGATAGTATCCTGACAGGCTGGTATAGAGGCAATGGCTCTGGACACAGATATCTCTAGATTCAAACTCTACCTTCCTTCCTTATAATTCTTTAACTTTAGGCATGTCTTTTAATACTTGGGCCTCAGGCTCATTAAATATAAAATTAAAATAGGTATAACTGCCTTATTAACCTTAACTGTAAATGGAGAAATGATCCTTCTTCATTTGGGATATTCTGAGAACTAAATGGGAGCAAAGTATATAAAGTGTTTGCATTGGGTCACTCAATAAATTAATGCTTTTCTTCCTCTCATGAAACTAAAATGAGATAATAGCTAGAAAAGTACCTTGTAAACTATAAAGCACTACATGCATGTAAGAAATAGCATCCTATTCCTAATCGATTATACTGTGCTCTTCTCTTCCCTTACACAGCAGCAGAAACTCAGAGATGTAGATTTTGGAGAGATGAGAGGCAACCAGGCAAGTTTGGATCCTAGCTGCTCCAGGACTGGATATATTGTCCAATGCTTAACATCACCGTGTAACTACATCCCCACCTGACTCAGTAACGATGGGTCTCTACGTAAGTCTAGATTTTGCATAGTATTAGTATATATTGTTATTTGGCATATATGACACACGGATTGTTTAGGTGATTCAATGTGTAGCTCTGTAGGAAGAAGATAAAAGAAAAAAACATTAAACAATAGGCAAAGGCAAGAGTGGGGCCAAGATGTAAGGGAAATTCCATCCTGATTAGAGAAGACCGTAACATGCTCCATACTCCATTACTACCTTAAAAAATTACCCTCTGCATTTTTCCTTTCCCTTATAGAATGTTTTTAACTTTCCTGTTTTTCCCCCTACAAAGCTAAAACAAAGGCTTTGCGCATCAATAACATCTAACACTCAGCTTTAAGGATTAAGGCCCACCTAATCAACAACTGAAGGTTTAAAAAAAAAATCTCAACTAGCTGTGAAGGAGATGTTCTCTCTGAGTGCAGCTGCAGGGGAAGAGACACTATTCTGCACCATAAAAAGAGAGATCAAAGGATCTGATCTAAGGTGTGACACAAAGAATATCAATGAGTTATCAATTGTACTCTCCTGATCACTCTGAACTGTAACCATACTATCCTTTTTTCCTCTCTCTTTAAAACATTTTTTTTTTTCTTTTTATACAAAAGAGTCTTTAAAATACCTGGACTTCAGGGTGCTAAATCCTATGAAAAGTAACCTTCACTTTCTAAAACCATTGTAATCCTAATTAGCTGTTTTACTTGATAATTGGCTGCCATGGTAATCACATTTAAGCTGACATCTCTATTTTCATGAAAGGCATAAATACTTAAAAGGTTTTGATGTTTGACCAAAAGAAGAGCTTGGCATTTCCCCTCTTCTTTCTTTATTGTATAGGTATAACAAAAACCAATGGTTTGAGCAATTTCTCATACAAACAGTTTGAGAGTCTTTGTCTCATTTAAATTAATGCCTTTCAGCTCAGCATGTGGCTTCCAATAGTAGCACCAAGGAACTTGCTGATGGAGGTCACAGGAGCTATCCTCATGATGGAACCTCCTTGAGTCCACTGCCTTCTCTCTCCACAAAAGGAGCATAGACTCACATTCAAGGGAGAGTGTTGGTAAGTCCCACATGATTTGAGTTGAGTGGCGTGGGTAGAGTGTTGTCACTTACCTTGTCTGCCCTGTCCTTCTCAACTCCATATTTGCCCCCAAAGCCTCTGGCAGCATCAGTCTGAGAAGAGTGCTTCTCCACTTCAGCAACATACTCATGACCCAGAGCACTCTGAGAAAAATCAAAGACGAATGAGTGACAAGACAAAAATGACCATGAAGAAGTAAAATGATACAGAGATGGAATGTAAGACTACAAGAAATTCTCTTTTAGGTCAGAATAATAGCCTCTGACAGTAATGCCAAGGAATACATGAAGGGAGAGCAAGGCAACTTTTCCTGGAGCCTTGCACATCCTGATTCTTCTTTAACACCATTTGGAACCCATCATTCGGGAAACTCCCCTAGGATAGGCTGGGAACTAGTAGGATAGAGACTAGGAAGACAGAGCAGTGATTAAACCAGAAATGAAAAGAGAGCTAAAATAAGGGCTTTGTGCATCAAAATAGGAGTGAGTTTAGTTATTGGAGGGAGAACAAAGGGGACTGGCTGGATGACATAGCTGGGATTGAATATTTCACAAAAACGGCTAGGTGTTTTGTTCTGGATCTTTGCTTCTGTATGACTGTTAAAGTTCAGAAGTGCCGCCTTAGTCCTGATATTTAACAGTGACTGTCCCTTTATACTAAAGGGGGTTGATAGACAATACTGTGAGTAGTCCAAGACAGCATATAACTTAAATCATTTCTATTCTCCTCCAATTTTAACTCCACCTACTGTTTTATTTTCTATTTGGTTTTAAAAGGTATGTCTCTTCTAATATTTAGATATGGATATTTTAATAATTTGGGAATTGAGTAATACTTCAAGCCAAATAATAATGCCTTGCAGAGTCTCAACTAAGAAGAAATTAAAAATTTCTTCTCTTTCTTCCTATATTTCCAATCCCATGCTGGAATAAACATCAATAAAGGGATTGATGTGAAACATTGCCCTATATAAGCTCCTGGGAACTGGTGTTACAGTATTTTGAGGTTTGTGTAGGTCAGCTTTGCTTGTTGAATTTAAGAATGAATGACTGTTCATTAGTTTCACCTTATTCCAAGGAATTTTGTGAGAGAATACAATGCCTACAATGCACTTTATCCAATGACCAAACAAAACACTTCTTAAGAATGAACTAAAGACTTCCATTGGATTTTTTTCTCCTCGAAGGTAAAACCTTTTTTTCTTATAGGAATTTATCTCTGTCTTTAAGGTTAGGAAAGTCAATGGAAAAAATAATTCAATATACAAGCATTCTTTTATCATACTTTTATAATATCTAATGAATAGAGGAAAAACAATATTCATATGTGAGAGCTTCTAATGGATAAGTGCACGTCAATATTTTTCACACCTTTGTGCACGTCATATAAATAATGCATAACATATATACAAAAAAAACACTAAACATACAGTAAAGAAAATAAAAGAAGTAACATAGACATAGCACACAAACGTTTTAAAGCACTAATTTTAAAACATATTTTCCCTTCTCTACTTGTGTTCCTTGTCTCTTCAGTCTAGGAATTACAGTGTGACTGGGCCTACATGAGGCCAGTCCTTCTCAATTCTTGGCTCCTATTTTCTGCCATCTATATTTTATGTGTTCATATCGGGGGTGGGGGAATGGGGGTGGAAATACAAATAATATGTGGACATTCTATTTTAAAGCCCAGATGAATACTGTACTTTAAACCATAAAACCAACAAATGAATCAATTTATTTTTAAAGCAAATGTCTCCTTTTCAACTCACCTTGTCCATTCTGTCTCTTTCCACCCCAAACCGACCTCCGTAGCCATGGGATGCTTTGGGCCCAGATTCCATCTCCTTTTTCTTAAGAATATCATGCTCCTCTGACACTTTGTTCCTTAGCTGATGAATGCTGAAAGTAACCACATGTTAGAGACTCATCTAACACAGGAAGTCAATGAACCCTCCTTCCCCAAAAAATGGGAATCTAGAGGTGTATTCTGTTTATTTCTAGCAATAACCTGAGCCCCCAAAGTATACCAGCACTGGATCTGGTAGTAAGAGATTAGTGTGGCCTGCATACCATGGCCTGATTTACACTTTTCATAGTGAATAGTATTTCTTCTAGTCTGTTATTTTGCTCATTAAATAACGTGTTGATATTTATTCCCATTTTTCATGTTCTTAAATATTAGAGGACAATGACACCTATATTCTAGTATCTGAGAAGTTATTTTCCTCTCTGAATGGATTTGCTTTCTAGCAATTAGGTCTTCCATCTTAAAAAGCAAAAAATATTCCTATACCCTTTTACCCACACATCCTAGTCCTGTGAGTCTACCTTAAGGAAATAATTTTAAATATGGAAAAGCTTAATGTCTAATGATATTCACTGAAACATTGCACATAGTGATAGCAAGAACTAAGAAACAATTTATATGACCAATAACTGGGTAATAGTTAAGTAAATCATAACATTACCTCTTAATGGCATACTAGGAAGACATTAAAAATGATGGTTATAAAAAATGCAGCATTGAGAAATTTATCTACATATTAAGTATTTTGTGTTTTGTCTTGTCATAAATGAATGCTTTCAAAGTGTTGCAACAATTAGTGATAAGAATGAATTCTTAGAAACATTTGGGCAAGAGAACCTTAAATTAAAAATCTGACTTCTTACAGCAAGAAATGGAGTTTAAGGGATTGAGATAGTGATGTTACCAGAAATGCACTAGCTCAGGAAAATCAGATACATTGGTTACAGGTAGAATGGCTATCTCACAGCAGAAATTCCCCTTTTTCATGGAAGAATAGATCCATCTGGTGGCCTTGTAGTATAAGCCCACTAAAGGTCTTTTTAAAAAGCCTTCTCAGGTTTAGTCAAGTTAATTTTAGAAACCTGGCTTTGGACCAGATGAAATTAAACTAAGTGCTGGAAGAACCCTCTGTTCCTGTGCCTGCTCTAAACTCTCTGGCAGCAGTGAAGGCAGAGAGATCCTGTGTTGCCGACACCAATATTTTAGAACTGTCTGTGTCAAAAAAGCTATTGGTTCCAAGAACATATAAATGACTGATATTTCCCAACCAAAATATTTAGATGAAGAATGAAGAAAACGGGGCTAAACATTACTCTTAAATGGGAAAAGTCTGTAAAGTTTTAATGAGTCTAATGATTGCTACATGGGTCATAACTATATTATAGTTGAAACAAGTTTTTAAAAGAGATTAGAAAATGAGATTCAGGAATACCCACCTACTGGATGACAGCAAGGCTAGTCAGAGAATTATGCCAATGGACAATATAATTTGAATGAAAACTCTGGGGCTGAAGAAGACTAACTTCTTATCAAATTCTTTAGAATATAGCTGAAGCCACTCTAAATAGATCTTAATTTTATCATGCATTCAATAAATATTAATTAAATATTAAACTTTTGAGTGTGAGGTACTATTAAGCCCTGAGGACACAAAATGATTAATGTTTGGAGATAGCATTCAGGTGGAAGAGACAAAATAAAAAATTACACTTCATTGTGCTTAGTGGCATATCAAAGAAACTTTACTATTCCAGGACGTAATGTATTCACATAAATTAACTCTCAAATACCTATTTTAAGTTTTAAAATACCTTGGATTGATAAAGCAATGCAGTTCATGTGAACAAAGTGAAATCTAGGACCTCAAAGATGAGCTAAAAGAATAAACGTCTTGCTGTTTTTATTTCAAAATTAAAAGCACAAAGGTGAGTAACTCAGACTATAAAATATTATTCACAGATGATACAATCAAAGATGTAGAAAACTCTAAAGAATCTACCAAAAAAAAAAAAGCACTGCTAGAACTGTCAAGTACATTTGGCATGGTTACAGGACATAAGGTCACTATAAAAATCAATTTTATTTCTACATACTAGTCATAGATATTGAAAATTGAAAGTTAGAAATAAATGCCACTTACTGTCACATGAAACAACATGAAATCTTTTAGCATAAATTTAATAAAATATGTGTAAGACCTGTACACAGAAAAGCATTTCTGAAAAAATTAAAGAAGACCTAAATAAATAGAGATATATCCCATCTTCATGAATGGGAAAACTCGAGATCATTAAAATGTCAGCTCTCTCCAAAATGATCAATGCAATCCCAATTAAAATACCAACAGACATATTTGTAGGAATTGACAAGCTTATTCTAAAATGTATGTGGACATGTAAAGTCCTGGGATAGTAAAAGTTTTTTGTTTTGTTTTGTTTTGTTTTGTTTCAAGGAGAGCAAAATTGGAGGACTATTTGATTTCATGACTTATCATTAAGCTACAATAATCAGTGCAATATGATATGGGTCAGGGCAGACATACACATCAGTAAAATTGTCTAGAAATAGATACCCACATATATTGCTAAAGATGCCAGATAAGTCAGTGAGAGAAAAATAGTCTTTTAATGGTGCTGGAAAAACAAAAAATGGAAAAAATTCATATGGAAAAAAATGAACCTCAATTTAATATTAGACTTAAATGTAAAAGCTAAAATCATTAATCTTTTGGAACAAAACATAGAAATTTTTCACAATTTTGAGGTAGGCAAAAATTTATTAGACATGTAAAGCACTATAAAAATTTTTGATAAATTAGACATCATCAGAACTAATATCTTCTGATCCTCAAAAGATACCATTAATAAAATGAAAAGGTGAGTTACACTCTGGATTAAATATTTGTAAAATACATATCTCACAAAAGACATATCAGAATATATAAAGAACTCTTAAAATTTAAAATATGAACAGCCCATTTTAAAAGTGAGAAAAAATATTTTAACAGACACATCAAAATAAAGATATATAAAGATAAATATATGGCACATAAAAAGAGACTCAATAAAATTAGTCATCAGAATAATACAAATTAAAATCACCACATACCCACTAGAGTGGTTAAAATTAAAAATACTAACAATACCAAGTATAGACAAAGATGTAGAACAATGAAAACCCATACACTGTTGGTAGGAATGAAAAATGGTAAATTCCTACCAGAAAATAATTTAGTAGTTTCTTAAAAAGTTAAATACACACTTATTATATGACTTAGTAATTCTGCTCCTAGGGATTTTCTAAGAGAAATAAAAATAGATGACAACAAAAAGATTTGAACCCAAATGTTCATGACAGCTTTGTCATAGCCATAAATTATCACCAACAAATAGTCCATCAACACGGTAATGGGTAAATCAAATTGTGGTATATCCATACAATGGGATACTACTTGACAATAAAAAAAGAACAACAGATTGATACACACAAGACCATGGATAGATCTCAAAAAATTATGCTGAGTGAAAGAAGACAGACAAACAAGAATACATTCTATATTATTCCATTTACATAAAATTCTAAGACAGACAAAACTAATCCGTAGTGACAAGAAGCAGATTG